AAGATATTGGATTCTGCTTATTGTTGCTAGTATTATGATGATGAACATGATTAGTATTATGGTATTGAAAATCTTGATGATTGCAGCATTAGAATTTACTTACCTACTACTCACCAAGAGCTACAATACTTAAGGTTTATATTTTGTATTGAAGAAATCTCCCTGTTTCTTGGAAAGCATGTTGTGACAATACAGTATAACCATGCACTCAACTAACACAGGCTGATGACATGCAAATTCTAGAGTTGCATATAGATCTACATATCTTATTTATATTTAACCATTATTGCAGTATGTTTACTTAACCCTATCTTTGAGTGACATGAACAATGGTTAGCTAATGAAATTAATGCCATAGATGATGATGCTGGCAATGATTGTGGGGCAACTTCTATGAGAAGGCAGCCTATATATTTGGTACTTGTGTTAGTTTTATAAGACTGAACCAAAAAAAAGAGTCTGAGAGTTCAACCTCTTATCAAAAAAGGCCATGAGACCTTGGGTTGTTTGTTCCTAGCATATTGCTAGGCATTTATGATTTCACAGATTCTCAGAAGTTGCAGTTTGTTCTTTTTTACTTTTCTTTTTCTCCTGGGGGTCTGTCTTTCTTGTAATTCCAATTTTCCTTTCACATTTTCCTCTGTTTTCCTACCTCAGCTTTTCATTTCTTCCTTTCCACTGCCTTCACGTTTCTTGTTTATTCTTTTTTTTCTCTCCCTTCTACTCCTCCTTCTTCTCCTTCTTCTTCTCCTTCTCCTTCTCCTTCTCCTTCTCCTTCTCCTCCTTCTCCTCCCCCCCCTCTTTCTCCTCATTCTCCTCCTCCTCTTCTTTTGCTTCATCCTCATCCTTTTTGTCTTCCTCTTCCTCTTCCTTGTCTTTCTCCTCTTCCTCCTCCTCATTTCCCTTCCTTCTTGTTCACTTCTTTCTCTTCCTACACCTCCTCCTCCTTCTCCTCCTCCTCCTCCTCCTCCTCCTCCTCCTCCTCCTCCTTCTCCTCCTCCTCCCCATTCTTCACCTTCTCACTTCTGTGCATCTCTCTTCTCCCCAGGTCCTGCCTATCCCATCAATTTTACCCCCTTCTTCTTATTTTCAGTGCTATTCTCCTTATTTATTTACTCATTTTGAATTAACCAAATGTGATTCATGTAAGCATAAGAACTAGGAGGTGCTAGAAAATTTAGTCCAGCTAATGTCAATTAGAATACAATTTAGAGAACGTTTATACAGTACCAAATACTTTTACTTTTTTTTTTTAAGATATTGATCTTATAGATGCATTAGTATGTTAAGAAATTTTGCTACAGTGAATTATTCCTATAAGACAATGGGGTCACCAATCTTCTCAATTGTTCATTTCAGTCATATTTCCTACAAACTCATGAAGATCTTGATTGTAATCTTTATGCTGTATGTGGTTACCATTGATTGCATTTTAGTGTAGAGAGTACTAATCCACTATTGTTTGAAGGTGATGGTTGACAGGCTCTTCTGAATCCCATGATTGGATGTCTTTTTTTTTCCTCTTTTTTTTTATTTTATTTTTTTATTAAAAGCAGTCACTGGCACTTTTTCTCCTTCTCCCTTCATGGAAATTTGGGGTTAGCACAGTTTTCACCAGTCCCTCCCAGTTCTCTGTTGCTACCCATATTGAGAGGTATCTTTTTTCCTTTGGTTATTTTATTAGGGAGGGAAACCTTGGAAGGTATCTGTGAAACCACAAGACAACCATTCTGTCATTCCTGTGTTGATGCGACCACATGATACCAGGCACTTTCTCGTTTTCTATTGCTAAGGGAAAAGAGAAAATCGGCTCACAAGTGAAATTCTTTCAATGAAAATCACTGATGAAAATAATTCAAGAAGGACTTTTCTACTTTTATTGATTATTGTTATGTTTTTTGTTTGCTTTTAAAACTTGGTGATGGCAGATTTGCCTTTTAGATGCAAGGTCTGATAGATTCACTTTCAGAGCTGAAGGCAGCAGGAAGTGAATGCAAGCATATCTTTCACATAGTGTGCCAGACTCCACCTTGAATTTCAGCTGCATGAGTCATTGATTAAAAAAAAGAAAAAAAAAAACACGCTGCTTCTGTTGTCTGCGGGTCAGATCTTAGGAGTCTTGTCAGCCCCTTTTTTGATGCTGCTCATTTTTGTACATGCAAATGGGCGTTCTAGAAATTCCGCTGAAGGCTCCTAATACCTGATCGCAACAATCCCTTTCGCCCACCACCAACACACCAGGTAATCATTCCACCCCACAGTTCTTGGTCACTATATTACTTTGGCGTTACAATCAGGAATTTTGATGTTTCTGGCGTGAGTCCGTGATGGCTGGCCAAAGATATAAATGCAAAGATGTTGGCTTCCTTTATTGTTTTTTTTGCTGTGTTCTGTCTGTTATTGATTTTTTTGATTGTTGGAGTGAGTGTTTGTAAATGGGTATATATCTGTATTAATGAGGTAGGTGTGTGTGTGTGTGTGTGTGTGTGTGTGTGTGTGTGTGTGTGTGTGTGTGTGTGTTTTTCTTCCATGTGTGAGTGTGGGCATCCGTGTGTGTGTGTGTGTGTGTGTGTATGTGTGTGTGTGTGTGTGTGTGTGTGTGTGTGTGTGTGTGTGTGTGTTTCTTCCATGTGTGAGTGTGGGCATCCGTATGTGAGTGTGAGTTTGTGTGTGTGTGTGTGAGTTTGTGTGAGTGTGTGAGTGTGTGTGTGTGTGTGTGTGTGTGAGTGAGTTTGTGTGTGTGTGTGTGTGTGTGTGTGTGTGTGTGTGTGTGTGTGTGTGTGTGTATGATCGTGTGTGTGAGTGTGTGTGTGAGCAAGCATGTTTGTGTGCGAGGGCATGAGTGTGTGTGAGGACATGTGTCTGTGTGAGGACATGTGTCTGTGTGAGTGTTTATTCTCAGGCATATGAGAGAGAGAGAGAGAGAGAGAGAGATAGATAGAGACAGAGACAAAGAGAATAATTCATGTTGAGTACATTAAATGAGAGAGAGAAAAGAAATATATGTATGAAAATACACAGATAGGTATACTTATGTATTCAGATATTTATACTATTTCTCAACCAATAAACCTTGAGGATACACATACCCATTACACAATATATTAAGTCCGTAAATCAAGGCCTTGATATTAAGGTACTATTTAAACAGAAACTATGTAAACATTGCCTTTACAACACATCCTAGAATTCTCAGACTGCTTCATGAATAAAAATCCCAGAGAACACTGTGCTTTGTAGTGCTTTATCCCCCCTTCCCCCAAACACACATAACTTTTTACGGCAGTCTCACGGTGCTCGTATCGCCTGCTCAAAGTATCTGATAACGCCACTCGTTACCAATAGTTGCTTCTTTGTATGAGTTGCACATTACCACTAGCACATTTTGTCCTATGGCCAGAATTCTTTAATGCCATTACAGTGAGCATGCAAGTCAGTTTGGTTGCAATCGCTCAGCAGGGAGGAGGAGGAGACGACAACAGTTCAAGAGAGCGAGAGATGGGATAATCAAGGATTGGGAGCAGGGCAATGGGAGGTCTGCAAATGTGGGATTTTTCTCTTTTTCTTTTTAGGGGTTGCAGGGCACCTACTAGCATGTTGCTTTTCCTTTTTTAATTTTTTTTTTTTTTTTTTTTTTTTTTTTTTCTCTCTCTCTTTCTCTTTCTCTCTCTCTCTCTCTCTCTGTAAGTAAACTGTAGAAATGTTACAGTTTAAAACCCAAACATGACTTGCCATTCAGCATTCATTTAGTTTTTCAGGAAGCTGAAGGATTCCATAGGACATATACAATGGTCCTATTTATATTGCTCTTTGTGAAAAGCGATATATAGGACTATTATTTTCTGTGAAAAGGAATTTGGGGTTGTTGGCTGTTTTAGTGGGAAGACCTTTAAACATTTCAAGAGTATGTAGTGATGACTAAAAGAACTGCAGAATCTTAAATAGTGGCCAAGTTCTCGAAAATTTATGACACAGATTCTTGTTATGATTTTATTTATTTTGGTATTTTTATTTATTTATTATTTATCTTTTTTTTTCTTTTTTCTTTTTTTTTTTGTGTGTGTGTGCGCTTTTTTGCCTAAATACTTCTAACTATTTACAGTGAGTTTTTATTAGTTGTTTAGGACGTCATTTAAGAAGTCGTTGCCTATGATAGGGGAAAGGTTTTTGTTTTACACAAACACGCATACATATTCATATACATATATATTTGTATGTATATTTGTATATTATTGTACTTATGTAGATATATGTGTATGTGTGTAATAAATATATATATATATATATATATATATATATATATATATATATATATATATATATATATATATATATATATATATATATATATATATTTATGTATATATATATATATATATATATATATATATATATATATATATATATATATATATATATATATATATATATATATATATATTTATTACACACATACAAATATATATATATATTTATGTATATATATATATATATATATATATATATATATATATATATATATATATATATATATATATATATATATATATATATTTATTACACACATACAAATATATATATATATTTATGTATATATATATATATATATGTATATATATATATATATATATATATATATATATATATATATATATATATATATATATATATATATATTTATGTGTGTATATATATATATATAGATATATATATATATATATATATATATATATATATATATATATATATATATATAGATATATAGATATATATATATATATAGATATATATATATATATATATAGATATATATATATATACATATATATATATATATATAAATATATATATATATACAAAAATATATATATATATATATATATATATATATATATATATATATATATATATATATATACATATATATATATATATATATATATATATATATATATATATATATATATATATATTTATGTATATATATATATATATATATA